TTCATTTCCACCGATTTGGCCCTCAAACCCTCCTTCAATCCTACAGATTTTACCCTCCAAGCTTCCATTTCCTCTTCCTTAGCCCTCAATGCTCGCTCTGTAGCTTGGAGCCGGTTGTCCACTATATGATAGTGTTCTTTGTACTGAACGACTTCAGCTTCCAAAGCTTTATTGGTTTCGGCTAGATTTAACCGAATCTCCTCATTTTCTGCTAGAGCTTGCTGAGAGATAGCATACTCGTTTTGCACCTTTTTCATCTCTTGTGTCGGCTCCAGAGCTAGCCTTCGGAGCATCATCATTGCTCGGATTTGAAACTCCGAGAAGTATTTCCACAGATTCGATGTCAAGGTTGTTGATCGCTTCCTTTCTGGCATCCGAAAGTAAGTCCGGTGCAACTACTCGGCCAGCATGGACACCTTGGTTGAGGAAGGCGCTGGTTAAAAAAAAGGGAGGAAAGATGGTATTTGAAGAGCTGCCAGGCCTGGACGCCAGATCACCTCGAGATTGACGTCAAGCCCATCCGAACCACTCGGTTTACCCGAGTGGGAGTGCTTCCTCTTCTTCTCTCTCTCTGAGTCCTTGCTTTTCTCTCTCTCCTTGCCCTTGTCTTTACGCTTTTTCAGTTGATTCTCCACAATGACAAGGTCTCGGGGAGGAGGTTGGGGCTCGGTTGCAACAGGAACACGATCCATTTGAGGGTGTCGGTGATCCTCAATAGGTGTGTTTTCAGGTGCCCTCGACTTCAAAGTGTTACGGTATGTCGGCACATGAACACCGCGCTGGGCCATTAAACCTACAATAAAGCAGATAGTCAAATCAATATCATTTAATTCAAAAATGAAACCATAATGACGAAACATACCATCCATGTCCAGGCGAGGTTGAGGAGATTTTAATACTAAAAGCATGTGTCGGGCGGGAAGGTCTCGGGGAACAGACTTTAACTAATCCAAGACTGCTAACTCCCTAGCCGACAACATGTCTTTAGGAATCCAATCATACCGGCGAGGCACCCGGGTCTAGTGGAAGGGAAAAAGAGGATTATTTTCACTATCAAAGAAAAAATTTCTACCTATGGGATGAACAGTTACTTTGAAGAAATTGGTTTTAAAACCTTTAAAAGATGAAGCATAAGGCTTAAACAATGGCAATTCTGGTTTCCTTATCAAGGATATCCACCTTGCTAAGTCGGATGGACGAGTACAGAAAAAATGAAGAAATAAGCCTACACTAGGTTCTATATAATGAAATTTACAAAGTACTTTAAAAGCTTGAATAGTCGCCCACCCATTAGGATGGAGTTGTGTCGGCACTATATTCAAAACCCTTAACACTCCCATTTGGAAGTTATCAAAGGGCAATTTTATTCCTAACTCTCTAAACATATATTCATACACAAAGAAGGTGCCGACACCCTCTAGAAAAACAAATTCAGGGTCTTCAGTTTCATCTCCACGACAGGGATAAATGGATATGGGGTAGGGGTCAGATGACTCCCATAATGAAATGTCAACATGATCAACAAAAGATTGCAGAACCTTATTTCTTTTATACCGAGAGAAGTAGGCGGCTACCTCACCGTGTACCCACTCATATCCAGAAACTGTACAGGGGGAAATACTGGTCTCTTTCTAGGGGGGCTCGTGCTTGGTAAGGGTTCAGAAGAATCAGAATCGGTAGACTCCGACGATTCGGCTTCATCGTTGCATTTCCTAAAGCAAATCTCTACGTCTTCATGACCCCCACTCGGTCCTGAACGAATTCTACCCCCCATTTGGTTTTCTCAGCACGTTGAATGTTGCCACTAGTCGACATAGATGACTCTGACAACGAGTCCTCCCATTCTAAGGATTCGGCCATGATAAAAATAAGGAAAGAAGAACAAAACGTACCTCACAGTAGTCAGTTTGAAAGAAAAAGTTAGAATACCCTTCGATTTGGAGCGACAGTACATACTTCTCGGTACAGAGAAAAAGTGGGGAACAAAATACCTGGACCACCGCGTATTTATAAAGGGTCCTCGGGCATGTGAAAGGTCACATCCCTCCCTAATCGACAGATCTATCCCAGATCAAACGGTCAAGATCGAGTACCCTTTCGTTTCGTACACACATCAAGGAAACCCTAAAAAACATGAGGTTCTAGAATAATCTATTTCCATTATTTATTATTTATTTTTATGAATCTTTATTATTCCTTATTTTTTACTTATTTCATTAGCCTATATTCACTTTTCTAGTAAACCGAATACCCCCTCGTTATTCCTAACCACCTAATAAACCGAATACCTTCTCGGTATCAGTATCACATCCCATAAACCGAATACCCCCTCGGTATTTTTACCATTTCACCACACCGAGTACCCTCTCCTTTACATATGCTTATCACTTATCTAATTTTTAAGCCCTCAACTCATACCTCTTCAGGCTTGGGGGGCTAGTGTACTGGATAAGGGAATTGCTCGGACCTACATATAGAAAAAGGAAACCGAATACTTACTCGGTCAATGTAGACCAATATCTCTTCAGGATTTAAAGGTAAATAACTTAATTAAGGATAATAATTAAAATATTATTTAAATCAAGAAAAGGGTCAAAGTCAAGGCTGACTCAGCAGGCCCAATAGCCCATTACAATGCCTATAAAAAGGGAGGTAGGAAATACAAGTGGAGGTGAATTTTTCATTATTGAATACCATTTATTACTCAGAACCGAATCCTGACTTCAGCATCGGAGTGCCTTTTACAGGTACCCTCCCCTCCCCACGTCAGCGAATACCAGAGAGACGTCATTACAGCATATCAGAGACTTGAAGATTAGTGTTACCCTTGCAGGAACAATCTTTATTATCATGCTTTTCAAAAATTATCACCTTCTATAATTAATATTTATTGAAACTCATCACCATCATAGTCAATTATCAATTAATATAGACTCACTTTTATGTTTGAGTTGTTCACTATTTTAAAAAAATTATACTTTCACAGTCTCACTCTACTGCCATTTATCAAAATCAACTTTTGTGAAGAAACTCTTATTACATGAATTATCATATGACTCTTCGTTGATCAACACAAGTATTATCACTGTGAAAGTTGTAGTGATGGTTGTGACTTGAGACATTAGTTGTGGTGACTTATATTGTTAGTATAATAATTGTAGAACTGTGTTTTATATCTGTGTAACAATATTAACAAAAAAAATGACAGCTTGACGATTGCAACTTAAGATGTTGATGTAACAAGGGTAGAATGAGGACGATTGTATAACTGTAGGAAAAAAGAAAGAAAGATAGATTAAACTCTCATTTTGATTGTTGAAGTAATAAGTATAGATTAATTTAATCTTTTAAAATTTAAAAATATCACATTAATTCTTAACTTTAATATTTCGTTTTATCATTTTAGTTCTTAAACTCTTAAACACTATTAATATACACATTAAATGACAAGTTTAAAAGCTCACTTAGCTAAAAACTATATTGCTTCGCTATTTAAATAATTGTCCTCTATTTTCTCTTTTTCTTCTCACTACCATCTTTATTTGTGTCTTTTGTTAAAAGAATGAATCCAACTTAGGAAAACTCTCAAACCATCTCCCTTCCTAAGACTCAACAAATTCACCAATATTAAATACAAAAGATCAAAACACACCCTCAGTATTAAAATCACCATCACCTCCACTTATAGTTAACAAACTCAACAAAGCCTAAAACATTCCTAAACTAAAAATTAGTCCCAAAATGCAAAAGACTTCCCTATAAAAAGTTTAGTTATCACTTTAACAAACTTGCACATATGTCAATCACAAACAAATAAGAAAGTCATTTGTAACCTTTCACTCATCACCCACTAAAGTTATTGACATTAAAATCAAAAGCAAAGTATTCAAAGTTACAATACCCTGCTTTCAATATCAATGGTTCTCTCAAATCACCTATTTTACTCTTTGTTTTTTTGGTTTTTTATCATCTCAAATATTATCTTAGATCTTATATTTTTTTGTATCAATGATTTTTTTAAACACATTCAGAGGACATTAAATAAAAGAGACAAGAGAAGGAGAAAGGTTAGTAAGAAAGAAAGATAAATTTGTATGTAAAATACGTAATAAAATAAAGATAGTAATGTAAAGAAAATGAGGAGATTTACAACAGAACTTTTTAAATAGTGAAACAATGATTTTTAAATAGTGAAATAATATTATTTTTTATCAAATAAACTTTTATACTTCTCAATTAACAAGTCATATTAATAATTTTTTAATGTGTAATAACAATATTTGTATCTAAAAATTATGTTATTTGAGAAGGAATTTTTGAAAAGAAAAGAAGACAATTTATATTTTAAATAAATATATTTTTAAAATTAATATTTTTTAAAAATAAAAAATATAAATTAATATATTAACAAAAATTTACTGTAATTAATAATGTATTTGTTATTATAAATAATATATAATTTTTTAAATTAAAAATTAAAAAATACCCGCTTTTCTTTACTCTTCTAAAAATCTCCTTTCAAACATATTTCAAAATATTAAAATATAAAATAAAATAGAAGTATAAGACTACAACAATATTTAGGGACTGAACTAAATATAAGAATAATTTTAAAAAAGGAAGAAAAAAAGAAGATAATAAAATAAAAATACAAAACTAAAAAAAAAATAGAATTTAATCTTTTTAATAAAAAATATTTTACTTAAATAATCTTTGAAGTTAAATAGTCAAAATAAATAAATAAAAAATTTAAAAGACTAATTTACTAATTTAATCATAAATATAATTTTTTTAAAAAATTTACCTAATATATGAACTCATAATTATAAAAAAAAATTGACTAATACTTCAAGACCTTAATTAAAAATTTTAAAATATTTATAACGAATAATTTTCCTAACTTTTAATACATTTAAACATATTTTTTTAAGTGTATTATTTTTTAATTCCCCGAGACACTTCGAGCCTTTATATAAATGTGGAAAATTTCTTCACTTTCCATATAATTTTATATGAAACCCGAAAACTTTTCTCTTATCCGTCGTTGATGAACTTGGCGCGATATTCCCTTCACAAGCACCTCAGAAAAGAAAGGCATGGTTGTGCTTGTACCTCTTCCCCCATCTCCTGATTCCCTCTCTTTCTACCATTCTCTTCACACTCACACAGCCCTTTTGCCCCTCTCCAAATCCACGAGGTCCACTCTCTACTTTCACTCTCGGATTGTTCAAGCTAAAGCCCCTTTCTTCGCCGACTCGGATTGGTTCCAAGTGGGTCGACCCATTGGCACCTATGGCTTCATCAACGTCACCAGGTTCATCCTTTTGCGTTTCAACCATTTGGGTATTCTATTTGGATATCAAAAACCCAATTTTTAATTTTTTTTTTGGAATTTTATGCAGTTACTCGGCCTTTCTGTCGGGGCCAGCCACTGATTATTCACTTGAAGACTTGGGAGGACTGAAAACTCAAGATGTTGGAGAAGGCAATGTAAAGATAAGGTAAGTGTCGTGTGGTTCAATTGCAAATGAATAGGAACTATATAAAGAAACACATGCATTGCAGGCTTTATGAAGGGAGAGTTTCTCGGGGTCCACTCACAGGAACTCCTGTTACTTTTAAGGTAATCAATCTGTTAAATCTTTGCACAATGACTGTGTGTTGCATCGAGAATTGAAACTCTTACCCAATAATACTGAAGGTTTATCCTGGAAAACGAGCTGGTGGAGATGTAGCTGATGCACTAGCTGCAAATGAGTTGAATACACACTTGTTTCTTCAGGTGGAATTATATAATTTTTTATATTATTTAATCATTTTATATCTATTCATAGTGTTTTTATTTTTTATTAAATTAATATCTTGCTGGTTTACATTTTTCCTTGCAGGGCAGTTCTAAAGGTATTGGTCAGCATGTTGTGTTACTTGTAGGTGGGTTTGAGACAACGACCGGTGAGCAGGTTTGTTCTGTGAAATTAACAAAAATTCATTCACTTTACATGCCTTGGCTCCAGTTCTGTTGATTGTGTTGGAGCAATGTGTTTGATCCAGTGGCTTGCATTTCGTGATCATGGGAAATATAGTGCGGCAGACTATGCAAAAATAGCAAGTGAGAGGGTATCAAGAGATCGAGCTTTGGGAGAACTGCCATCTTGGAATCGCTTTGAACAAGGACAAACAATCAAAAGAAGACAATATTTTATTATAAAGCTGCTTCAAGGTGTCATGAGAGGTCTAGTTTACTTGCATGAACACGACAGATTGCACCAGAGTCTAGGACCATTTTCTGTGGTTCTCAAGTATGAAACTACCAAGCATTTAGTTTTGTTCAAGACTTCACGTTTGTCGTATGCCTTCTCACCCTACCTTTGATGTGTTTGTAATATGATGGAAGCACAATTTCAGAAAGAGAAGCTCCTTATTTGATTCCAAGACTTCGGGATCTAGCCTTTTCTGTTAATGTCAGGTAACGTAATGGTTTACTGGGCCCTTTTGTCTTGAATTAACCTATTATTAATATGTCGATCATACATATATATTGCATATGCATATGGCATGAAAAATGTTCTTTTGTTCCCCTTTTTTTAGCATAAATGTTTTTATCTTTCTGTGAACTTTGATTTCTGCTGCTTATTGGGAATCATTGGTGCCATCTGCATTTTTTTTCTGGCTATAATTTTTTCTGTTGTGTATTTTTTTATCTAGATTTCCTAAATATTCTATTTAGCTAGGTTGGGTTTCAGTGAGGCTGCTGCTCAAAAATTCAAAATTGCTGCTTTATTTGCTGAAAGCTAACAGTCTAATTTCAAGCTGAAGTAGTTTACAACGTAAATAATGTTACGTATAATTACATCATTCCAGGTACACAGAACTAGAGGATTCAGGACAACTTGCAGATGGGCTTTGGAGACGAGCGACAGGTGCTGGCGCATTCACACATATGGAGAAAAGAGCTTTTGGAATAGCTGATGACATGTAACTTGTCAGAACTTGGGTGAATGCAGAAGTTTGTTTCAGCATCTTTTTCAGGTTACCTATTTCTTTAATGAGTTCCAATGCAGATACGAAGCAGGTCTTCTTTTTGCATACTTGGCTTTTGTTCCATTCTGTGAAGCTGCTGTAATGGATGGGCTTTCTTTGCAAGTAAGCTGTACCGCCAATATGTCTTTGTCTTTGCAGTTGATGATTCTTTTATGTGAAAGTTTTCCTTCTCATTAGATAATATCTTCACTGAAGTTTTTGTTGACTGTGAAATTTAGAGGCTTTTGGAGAACACTTTCCAACTTGATCTTGAAGCAGTACGAGAGTAAGTTATCTTCTAGTTTAATTTGTGGTTTAATCTTGTGCAGAGACTCAGAGAGAAGACATATATGTTATAGAGTTATTTTGTAACTTCCCTTTGATCAAGGTATACTTTTTGTTATGGACTTGGGTTGTTCATAAGAAGAGCAAATAGCTGGAATAAAACGACTTTTTTATTTTTTGGGGGGGGGGGGGGGCGCTGTTTAGGAAGTTTGAAAACTAGTTTAAAGTAGTGCAGGATGGAACCGGACTAGTTTAAAGTAGTGCAGGATGGAACCGGATATATTAGTGACAAACCAATTCAACTTGGGCCTATTTTGGTTCTAAACTCATTTTAATATTGAATTCATTTATATAAATGTGAATATTTGATGATTCTGTTTATCTAAATTCAAAAAACTTGGCCTTCTTATTGATCATGGGATGAATGAATTGTTGCTACAACTAAATCTCATCTAATACCCTTAAATCTGGCAAACAGAGAGAGAAAGGGAGAATGAAAAGGAAGAGAGAATATGGAAAAAGTTGAATTAGAAAAAAAAAAAAAAAGAAAGGAAATTTAAGATGACTTTTTTGAAAACTAGTGCTTGTGGTTGTGCAAGAATAATTTGGATTGACTCCTAGCTGGTCTTCCCAGCATGCCAATGGTGCTTTAACCCACACTAGAATTCCATACTTCCAACATGGAACTCAAGTCTAATACTTTACAATTGGATCCTAACATTATATTTAAAAACTTGCCTACCTGCACAAAGATATTTAGTTTTTAGAAGTTCCCAAACGCCCCCTTAGAATGAAATCTGGTGTAACCAATCTCCTTTGGATATATCACTTTCCTTCTGTTCACCCAATTTACCTATATATGGTACACTAAAGATACTTCACATTATACTAAGTAATACGTCTTTCCTCAATCACATAGTTTTTGAGGTTAATTACTGTATCCAAAAATCTTGATGTCTTGCCACCATTCCTAAGTTAAAGACTACAATGTTTTTTTGCCAAACTAAATTTGCACTTCATCCAGCATGTCTGAACTTGGAAGAAAAAACTGCCCGGTGTTTGTTTTATTCTTCTTTTGGCAGGTATTGTATAGCAGATGACAAATTAATAAGTGCTGTTGAGTTCCTGGATCTAGGCGGTGGTGCTGGTTGGGAGTTACTTCAGGTATTTAAATGTCTGTAGTTTGGGCAACTACTAGTAAATGGCTTTGAGGGAGTGTGTGTTACAATTTATGAAGTACTTGGCTGATTTACAAAAGTGTCTAATACTCAGTATTTGAGAATGCCCTTAATTTTTTTAGTAGAATGAAGATTTAAAATGAAATAGTGCCTTTTTTGCTTGCTAGCATTTTTAGTTTCATAAAAAGCTTGTTTTATTACTACTTCAAGCTTGAACTATTAAAATTCAGGAGCTATATCAGAAGTTCATGCTGTTGCTCTCATGGTTTCAGGCAATGCTTAATGCTGACTTTCGAAAGAGACCAGCTGCAGAGGCTGTTCTCAAGCATCGGTTTATGACTGGGGCAGTCCTTTGAATTTCAAGATCAAAGAACCTGTTGGGGTATTTGGCTCTATAAATATTAAATAGTTCTTTAATGTAAATATTTGAGACTTTTTTATTATCATATAATATTGACTTTTCTCATTGAGACTGAGAATTGATATTTGAGTGGGAGGAGCACTCTATCCTAGTGAAGTGTACATACATACTAAGCTATATGGTTGTATTGTCGTACATTAAATTTGCTATTCAAAGTCTGATTAACTTAAGAAATGAACTAATTTGCCAATTTAAGGCCTATTTTATTGAAGTTCTTATTTTCATTAGGCATCAAAAGGAATATGCTGAAAAAAAAAACAAGAAACAAGGAAATTGAGGGGCTTATACAGGTCTACAATGAAACCTTTGATTAAGTAAAATTAGAGAAGAGATGAAGTCTTTAGAATAGTAATTGCGATTAGGATAACGTCTTTTTTTTTTTCTTCCAGTAAGGGCCTGTTTTAAGAATTGCATTCAATAAAAAGTTAGAAACATCTTTGACTTAAGAAAAAAATTTATTATTTTCATTAATTTATAAAGATAATGAAAATACATTTTATTGTTTACACTATTTTTATATTTATTAATAAAAAAACAAAGAAAAAATTATAATTTCATTTTAGTAATCATCATTGCCGATATTTATCACAAATTGCACGCAATGTATACTATTATTATTATATATAAATATAAATAGCAATCTAACAGATACCATAACTATAATAATATTCTATAATAATATTAAGCACGCATCTTAGGAATGAAATGATCTCAAAAACAAAATTTGTATTAACGTGCAATGGAAGAACAGAATCCCGATCGTAAAGATTGAAATAAAAAAAATATTCTTAAGATAAACAGTAACCTAAAAGTACTTAGAATTTTCTTATAATAATATAATAATAATAATTTTAAATTTTCATACTTTTTATTTTTAGAAATTCACTTAACTATTAAATAAAAAAGTATTAAATATATTTTATGTTTTTAAGATAATAAATACATGAATTTTTATTTAATGTTTATTTTATACAATAATTTTATTAACATATTTAATGATATATAATAAAAAATTAATAAATTATTTTTTTTAAATATACTTAAAAACATGTAATAAAAAATTAATATATTAATGATATAAAATATTATAACTTTAATGAATACTTATTATTTATTATTACTTATCATTGAAATTAAATTATTATCATATATTATTATAATAATTTTGAATTTTTTTATTTTTATTTTAATAAATTATTATATTACTATTTATATTTGATAAAGTAGTAGGATATAGTAAACTGGTATGATAAAAGAAAGAGAGGACAAGGGAGGGTTGTTAGAGAGATTCGTTTCGTTGGTGGAAGTGAATGGTAGAAGCATTGGATTGGCGAGCAGAGCATAATCGTCTTCTCAGTCTTTGGAAGCAATGATTGTGGTATGTAAGGTATCATGAAATTCCATCCCATGTTTCTTAAATTTACCCAATTCAAGAACCAATCTATTTGCACTCTGTTTCTTCCTTTCTATCAAAATTGATCCATCTTCATATTCGTGTTGCTGTTCAACTAAGGTGATTGATTAGGATCACTATACAACTTTTATTCTTAGGATTTTACTTTGCTTTTTTCTTCATATTATTATGCTCCTTGTGGTTATGCCCTTTCAATCTCTTTACCTTAACTCTACTGCTTTCTTTTTCCTCTTTGGAAAATGGAGTTGTCAAATGAGATTCAGTATGGCTCGGATCTTTTTTTTTTTTCCTTTAGAAAATTATATAATTGTAAATTACTGTACCTCTTTACATGGTAAATTTCCGAAAAGTTGTTTTTGATAGATTATATACATTGAGTGTTGTCTTTCAAATGAAGTTGTTTGAGGAATTATTTTACTTTAGGTTGAGAAGGTCGAAATCCAGGTTTAAAAGGGATAAAGAGGGAGATGCTTGTTTTATCTTCTTTCATCAGAGAGAGAGAGAGAGAGAGAGATGGAAAGGGATGTTGGAGGTTCTCTAGAGCAGTGGAAAGGGATCTCACAATTAAGGATTGAGAACAATAGGACTGACTCTATGCCTCTGACTGAGTGAAAGGAATCAAATTGAGTTGATTCCACTACAATTCAGATAGGGCTAGATTCTTCTTGCGTGTATTTTTGTTAATCTTTTCTTCTCATGTTTGTTGTTTGCTGCTTTAATTCATAAACTACTGGACACTTTTTGTTTACTGAGCAGTTGCTTTCTGAACTTCTACTTTGTAGCCATTTTTGCTGGCTAGGTTTAAAGATTTTGGCAAAAAATTCTGCCTTCATGTACTTTACTTTGTCCTGCCAAGTTGGATTCCTTATCCTCCTTTATTTTGTGCTTTTTCTCTTCTAATAATATATTTTTTTTCCCAATATTGTAGTACAAAATTCTACAGAAAAGGAAAATTCCATTGACATTTGATCCAAACTTTGTGTGCAGGCACACACTTGCACACACTCATATTTGTTTGCTTGTTTTCTTCTTTATTTTTGTATTTATAATGTGTATGAAGAATTCCTGAAGCTCTTGATTGATTTGCAGTAATAGCAACTACTCAATGGCTTTTGTCATTGTTGCTGTGTAAATGGAAGCAGTTATTATTGCACGATTTTTCCAAGTATATCAGATATTTGCTGGAGATTAATGGTAAAGGACTCAATGGTAAACCCAAAAGTGTCGAGTCGACCAAAAATATGCTACAGACCTATACGACCTTCTGACCTTGACATTTTAGAGCATATCCATGGCAGACTATTTCCCATCAGGTGCGATCATGTGCTGTTTCATTGACTATAAATATGAGCTCTTGAAATTGTGTTTACCTAGAGACATTCACAATGCTCAGGTATGAATCTACTTTTTTCCAAGATGTGGTACATGGACGAGACATTGTGTCATGGGGAGCTGTTGACCGCAGTCGGCCAGATGGTCAAAGTGATGAACTCATTGGATTTGTAACAGCACGGATTGTTCTTGCAAAGGAAAGCGAGGTTGACCCCCTTTATGCACAATTGTATGCCTTTTGTCTAGTTACTTGAAACATACTATGAAAAAGTTCTGTCAGCATTGCTAGAACTTGTGCTGAAAAGAGAACACGTGTGTTGTTTCTACTACTCTGTGTGAATGTATCTTTCATGTGGAAAATGTTGCTGTTTATTGATTTCACAAATCACAACTAGTTGTTGGTTATAAGGGGATATGGTGTAGGTAGCTAGTTCTTGTTGAAAAATTAATTCAAAATGTGTTCAATCAATCTTCTTTACCCAAAGATAATATGTCTATCATTGGCCACACACCAAAACATACTTGATGGAAAGTATATCCTGTTTGACAAACTTGATGTAGTATATGTATTCCTAGATATCCAAAGTATGCTCATGTGGCTTGATTATTTTATTAGTTTTCTGTTGCTAACCTTTAGATAATGACCTACTAGAACTTATATTGCTAGAAATCTGTTCAAATTGTCCCATAGGGTAGACCCTCTTAAAGTGTAAATTTGACAGCTTAATCTTTTGTGCTGATAATTTGTGAATTTTTCCATGAATATTAATCTTGTAGATAGTGGATATGCTTGGATGTGACTCAGCTAAATCTGACCAAACTTTAGTCTATGTACTGACGTTGGGAGTAGTGGAAGCATATAGAAGTCTTGGAATAGGTAGGGGTTTTGCACTTTAATTTTGTTGAAGTTCTCAACAATATAAATTTGCAATCTAATTTGGGCTGCATCTGCAGCTTCTTCTCTGATACGGGAGGTCATAAAATATGCTTCAAGTATTCCAACCTGCCGAGCTGTCTACTTGCATGTAATTTCTTACAATAACCCGGCAATAAATTTATACAAGAAAATGTCTTTCAAGTGTATAAGAAGGTTGCAGGGATTTTATTTAATCAATGGCCAACATTATGATTCATTCCTATTCTTGTACTATGTAAATGGGGGACGATCTCCTTGCTCACCATTGTAAGTACAAAATACCCCTCAACTTTTCCTTTATTTGTTCACTTCAGACAGGCCTTAGATGTTACCTTTTAAATGAATCCTGTTAATAGTGCAAAATTTATTGCACTGTCACTCCTGATTGGGATATGAGTTTATGAACCTTGTTAAGGTTGAATCAATAAGGGCCTTTTGTATTCTTCATTGATACATGACTTGATGGCTGAAAATATTTCATTTCTATGTTGTAAGTTTCTTGGATGGTATAATGTGATTGGTGCAATCATGTTGTCAAAGTGATTATTGACTGATTTTCAATGTTAAAATTCAATACTATGTCACCTTCTATCTTAATCTTGGTTGACCAGTTGACTGCCCTTTTTAGAGTATATTTGTGCCATACACATTACATGTATAACTATTTGTAATTCCTTTTATCTAAAAAACAAATCCTTCCTAGAATTATAATTTCCATTTCACTTTTCAGAGAGTTTCTTGCTGCTATAGTAAGCTACATGAGGAGTGGCTTTACATCGGTGGCTGCAAGACTGTGTAAGAACGGAAGCAGGAAGATCTCAAGGCGGGCAAAGTGTAAAGAAAGTCATTCTCTTGTGTCAGCAACACCCAACAAAAGAAACTTGACAGTCGAGTGTACTGGTTATGAGTGTGTTTAAACTCTTATTTTTTTACTTTTCCGTTTATTGAATCATCCAACCTCACTATTGTTTCCGCTAGAAAGGTCATATTGAAGCCATATTGAAGCCAAAAGTAATATTTACTTACTGTAACTATCATGTCATAATAAATTTCCACGATCCAGTCTTAGTAGGTGATATTAATAATATTTAGTATGTGGGATCAATGAAACTTGTGATTCTGTTGATCATTGTCACAATTGGCTGGATTACCAGCACAGGTAGTAGTTTGTTCTTGTTGGAATTGGCTACTAGGGCCATGCTGGTGTGTTTTAGCGTCATTGAGAATGCAGCTGTAATGTGGAACACGATCAAATGAATGCTGATTTGGGTCTCAACTTCAAAAAGAAAATATTTTGAAATTTATGATTTCACAAGAAGAAATACAGTTTTTGTTTGGTCATGACAAGCACCAAACATCCAAAACTTGCAGCATATTCTTGAACCGGTGAATGAAGCAAGAATAAAGTCTTGTCTTGAGGAATTCTTGCATATCCACGTCTCTTGATATTCTTGATCGGATGAATTTGCCATTGCGTTGTTCGGTAATGTGATCTAAACGTTTATATTTAATTGGAAATAAAAAATGATATTTCATGCAAAGGTAAACATGAATAATAAACATAGTTACCGTGAAAAAAAGTGCACAAACATAATTAAATTGTCACCTATAATTGGTATGTCCTGGTTAATAATAACTAAGACAATTAATATTTGTATCTTTGTAACTAGTGTTCATAAAGCGGACTGAATTGTCTTGTACTATTATCAATTAGTCAAAAACAAAATTGGATGGTTTGGCTCGTTTTTAAAAAACGAGCTGTAAAAGAAAATTAAAAATAAATGTGATGAGAAGTGGTAATGTAAATGAAAATTGAAATTAAAGAATAATAGATTTGAGTTTGGGATAGAACCAAGGGAAAAAAGTCTGATGTGAGTGCATATTTAGTTTTGATACATATTTTACACGTTAAATTTCAATACATTTTGTTGATGTTAAAATGCAAAAAATGAAAATTGCAAAACAAATGATTTAAAATATTTTTATTAACGTGTTTATAAATATATATGAAAAAAGTGTAATTGATTTGCGTTGCCCACAACGTGTGTCTACACGTGACAGTTGTAAACTACACAAATTGAGAAGAGAAAGAAAGGGGAAAAAAAATCTGAAAAATCTAGAGGGTGTGTCTGTCCGGGAATGTGGGTGGCGGAGTCTATATAGCTGAATAGCTTCATTCACCCTCTTTCGATTTTTCGGTTACTATGCCTATGCTCATGGCTGCTTCAACTTCAACCTCTGTGGTTGGAAGCGGCCTTGCCATCCCTCACCATCGTCATCATCTTCTTCTTCACCCTTCCGTCACAACCTCTTCTCGTTTTCACACTCCATTGCGTAACAACCGTTTATTCCTATCTTCTTCCACTAGGTATTAATTAATCCCTCTTCAATTTCTGATACTTGCCATGAGAAAAAATTCCCGAACCTGCTTCCAATTTTTTTATATTAACGCTTGTATTTGTCTTTCAGGGAAAGAAGAAGGCATAAAGCTGTTCATGGCGGATTGAACAAGCCTCGTGCCTGGAAACGCCTTTGTGAACCCTCGTTTTTCGTGCCGCATCAAAGCTGCACCTCTTGCTGTCTTGCCTCCGCCAAGAAACGCCGTTCAATTCTCGCAAGATTTGGTCCTGCGGCTTTTCCTGATAATTCTTCTTTTCAGCTATCTAAGAATAAATTCCAGTGTTCTTCTGTGAGTTTTCTTCTCACTCACTTCACTTTTAGCTGATGAATGTTCGAGCATGCTTGTACAGTATTCGATGTATATGTTCGGTTTCATTCTGCCTTGTATGTTGTGTGCTTACGATGTGATTGCATTAAGACAACTTGCGTCCTCTTCCCTTATTCTCAACTACCATATTTGGTTGTGTTAATGTGATTTCTCAGGTCAAGCGGGTTCAACTTCCGCGTGCAACTGTGGGTCCGGATGAGCCACACGCAGCAAGCACAGCCTGGCCAGATGGTATTGCTGAAAAACAAGATTTAAGTGTATTGGATTCTGAATTAGAGCGGATTGAGGGGTTTCTAAGTTCTGAACTTCCATCTCACCCTAAGTTGCATCGGGGTCAACTAAAGAATGGACTGCGTTATTTGATTCTACCTAATAAAGTTCCTCCAAAAAGGTGAATTCAATTTATGAATTCCCCCTGGAGGTGCCTCACGGCAGTTCCTTACCCTCTTTTTCTTAAGTAGTAGTTGTTTCTGCACGAAAGCTATGTTGACAAGTCAAGATTTTAATTGTGAAATTTGATATAAGATGTGAGCTGAGCAGAGTGTTCTTAGTTGAAATCTATGTATAGCATTTACACCTTTGCAGTGAATAATTGAGTGACTTCTAGAAGATTATTTAATAAAATTGACACAATCAATGTTTATATAGTAAATATTTACTCTTTTGAACATTGTTTTTCTGTGATATGGCGATGATAAGAATTTCAAAATGGGGGCTGTACACATGTAAGCAGTATTGCAGATTCTCTAGAATGTGCTTGTTGCTAACTGCTTAGTATCAACTGATTCAATTTTAGGTTTGAAGCACACTTGGAAGTTCATGCAGGATCGATAGATGAAGAGGATGATGAGCAAGGAATTGCACATATGATTGAGCATGTTGCTTTCTTAGGAAGTAAAAAACGTGAGAAGCTTCTGGGAACAGGAGCCCGCTCAAACGCCTATACTGATTTCCATCATACAGTGTTTCACATCCATGCTCCTACAACCACCAAGGTTTGGGCCGTTTGGTGTGCAGTTCTTTGTTATTCATTCAAATATTAGTTTCTTGTTATTTTTTCATTTATCATTTTGAATAATTTTTGAGCTGTTATGTTACTAATTAGTAATTTAAATTAAGCATATGAGAATAGGGTGAAATGGTGTTTGTACCTCTGTCTGAGCAAATGTGGAGATTATTGACGTTGTAAGGAAAGTGATTAATTTATAGTTTGAACAGCACGGTATTTGACTAACTGAAGTTTTTTTGTTTTTTACTTAAGTTGTAAAAAGAAATTGTCATGAATACTCCCAAATCCCAGTGTTCTATTGGCATGAGAGTGCCAAACAGTTAAAATTTGTTATATGTGAAGGTATATCCATGTCAATGAAATAGAAAATGTAAATGGCATTCTTTAAAGATATTCAACATGATATTTAGAGTGGAAATCCATTAGAGACAACATTAGGCTCAATTCTAGGAAGGCAAAACTTTTCCTGAGAGAGAGAGGATGAAATGGACAAGTGAAGATTATAAAGGTAGAAATAGAAATCTGATAGTCGTGTTTACTATGCTTATTATGTGTGAGAAAATTCTTCCATGACACATTTAAACTGCGATTTCCCAATGGGTACCTTGCTGTTTTCTTAAATCTGTCCATGTCTTGCTACTAGGCTTCATATTCTTTAGTGCTTAATTGTTACTACAATTCATCATCTAAAACAATCTGAAAGGGAACATGTATGCCTTGTTTCCAACATATGTATGCATGCATTAAATTGTGTTGAATTGTTTCATATTTTATTGATGTTGATTATAAATGGATGTTGTATGTCAGGATTCTGATGGTGATCTACTTCCATTTGTTTTGGATGCCTTGAATGAGGTATGCTTTGTTTAATTTTGCTTTATTTATGCCATATAAGCCACTTCTACTTTGTAGTTGTACATATGCATATATATTAGCTTTTACATTGTGTTTCATCTGATCTTGGCTTTATGCTTTGGTTTGACCCCTACTTGATCCATCCCTATAAATATTTAAGGGCACAATAGAGTAAATATGGATATGGTATTTCTTGGTTGGCATCGATAACATTGAATCACAGCTTATCATTATTGATGCATGCAGATAGCTTTCCACCCAAAGTTTCTTTCTTCTAGAATTGAGAAAGAACGGCGTGCTATACTCTCAGAGCTTCAAATGATGAATACAATAGAGTATCGTGTTGATTGCCAGGTGAGGAACAAGATATGTGATGGAAAATTAAGTATCAACTTGATATTTTTGCATAATATTGACTCAATTTTTTTGTTTCACATTTGCATTGCTTTTAATTTCTGTAATTGCAGTTGTTACAGCATCTGCATTCTGAAAATAAGCTGAGCAAAAGGTTTCCTATTGGATTAGAAGAACAGATAAAGAAGTGGGATGCAGATAAAATAAGGAAGTTTCATGAGCGTTGGTATTTCCCTGCAAATGCTACCTTGTACATTGTGGGGGATATTGATGACATCACAAAGACTGTTTACCAAATTGAAGTATGTCCAACATACATTTGTAGAGTTGTAGGCTTGGTTATGACCATTGTTACAATATTTAGGAGTCTTATGCAATAAACTCTTGTCATGCAGGCAGTTTTTGGACAAACTGGTGTGGAAAATGAGAAAGGTTCTGTAGCCACTCCTAGTGCATTTGGTGCAATGGCTAGTTTTCTTGTTCCTAAGCTCTCTGTTGGTCTGGGTGGAAATTCTATTGAAAGATCTGCTAATACAATGGATCAATCAAAAATATTCAGTAAGGAAAGACAAGCTGTTCGTCCTCCTGTGAAGCATAATTGGTCACTTCCTGGAAGCAGTGCTGATGTAAAGCTACCACAAATATTTCAACATGAGTTGCTTCAAAATTTTTCAATTAATATGTTCTGTAAGGTATGAAGAGGTTGAATTTTTGTTATCTTATTCTTGAGTCCAACTTATACTTTAGATTTTACATTTCTTTTGTATATACTTCCTGTCTTCCCCCAAGAATTATATTTTCTCTGTCTTTTTTCTTTTTACCCCTTGTGATGCTTGACATTTGTTGTTATTGACTTATTAGTACTTATCCTTAGATTAATGTGTTTGTGTCTAGACTATGGCTTTTAATTATTGATGATGAATACATCTTTAGTTGTATGGTTCTTTTTTTTTCAATCTTTTTTGAGCATTTATATTATATGCATATAGTATAAATTATATTTATCTTGTATCCATAATCACCTGCTATGTTAGTTTTGGGGTCAGCAGCTATCTTGAATTTACCATAGTGATCCTTGTTTTCTTTCCTTCCATACTTGAATTTTTTTTTAAACATTTCTCCTCTTTGGTATTTACTTGATATGCTTTTAGTTATTATAATATTTATGTTCCCTCTCGTTGTTGTTTATCTTTTTGAATTGCAGATTCCAGTGAATAAAGTTCAAACATACAGAGATTTGCGCAATGTCTTGATGAAAAGAATATTTTTGTCTGCTCTTCATTTTCGAATTAATACAAGATATAAGGTGAGATTAAGTTCTTTGTATCTGATATGTCATTTCTTAATCATGTATTTTTCTATGGCTACTGTAGGAATCATTTGGAATTTATTATGTGAAATCATGGTGACATTTTACTAATTTTAGTGAAAACAAGAAATCAAAATGAAAAATGTTTACTCAAACCAAACATGTTCTAAATATTTCACAAATTATACCCAGTGTTCCTCAAATCCTTGTTAACTTGTTAATCTTATAGCCTTTTTACAAAATTCCTATAAAGGCTGTCTTGTAGTGGATTAATTACTATTTACTTTTTTATAGCCCTTTATTTTTGTAATTTGCTAGATGGCCTATCCCTTAGCATCTAAATGGTTACTAATACATGAAATTTACAGAGTTCAAATCCACCATTCACTTCCGTTGAATTGGATCATAGTGATTCTGGAAGGGAAGGATGTACTGTGACCACTCTTACTATAACTGCAGAACCAAAGAATTGGCAAAATGCAATTAGAGTTGCTGTACAAGAGGTTAACTTCTTTTGCTGGGCTTTGATCGTTTACAGTAGTGCTGTTTTTAGTTTTGTTTCCATTGGTTGTTTTGGCTAGGTATTTTTGGTTATATTTCAATTCTTCTTTTTACTTCCCAATTTAATTTACAAAGATATAAAATGACTTGACTTTATGACAATTATTTGAAGCATGATATTCTTTTTATTCTTGCAAATGTTCCTAGCTTTATTGCTTTCTTTCTATTATGAGACTCTAATGAAAATTTGCATGTTACAGGTTCGAAGACTTAAAGAATTTGGTGTTACCCAGGGTGAATTAACTCGTTATTTAGATGCCCTTCTGAAAGACAGTGAACACCTGGCAGCCATGATTGATAATGTATCTTCTGTTGATAACTTGGATTTTATCATGGAAAGTGATGCTCTTGGCCATAAAGTTATGGACCAGAGACAAGGGCATGAAAGTTTACTTGCTGTTGCTGGGACAGTTACCCTTGATGAGGTAATTCATTGGTAGCCATTGGTCCTTGTGCAATTTTTTAAATTATATTGAAAATCCCCCCCCTTTTTGTGTTCTTGTTTTATTATAACAACTCTTAAATGGAAAGTCTCCGTTGGAGGCATGAACTGATGGCAGGTAATTGTGCAGATACCTCTTTGCAAATTGCTACAATTTAAATTTGTTACCACAACCTTTTTGTTTATCCTGATAAGGGAGATGATTGATTTTTCCCTGTGCTTGATGATTTCTGCATTACTTCCATGCTAAATGTGAGGTTTTAGTTTCTCTCTGTAGAAATTTAATATTTAAAACTTGTGTGCATTGCATTTGGTCCAAAGGTCTGAATTTATACTAATATACATAAATCTATATTAATTTCAGAACCTTACCTAATAAAGGTAATCCTAATGTTACATTTTTAATTACTATATATACATATCAACGGGTCTAATTACTATATTTATATATCAACGCTTTCAATCTATCTTAGATTGTTTTCTAGTTGCTGATTGGTATCCGATTTATAGAAAGTAATATTTAGATACCATTACATCATTGTCAACCATATTGATTATCCTTTTGTGGAATTTTAAGTTTGTTGCAATTGTTGTTCCTTTGTGATATTAATATATTTCTGGTATTCTGTTTCTTTGTGTGTGACATTTTCTCCAATTCTTTTTTGAAAAACAAAATGTTATAAATATTTTATTATATTTTAAATTAAATTTTAATATTTCAGAGTTATTGTAGAAAAAAAATTGGTAAGTTATAAAACATAGCTGGTATCTACAAGTCATTTACTTTGAATATCTTCTGGTTCAGGTTAATTCTGTTGGTGCCAAGGTGTTAGAATTTATAGCTGATTTTGGAAAGCCTACTGCACCCCTTCCTGCAGCAATTGTTGCTTGTGTTCCAAAAAAAGTTCACATTGAGGAAGCCGGTGAAACAGAATTCAAGATATCATCGACTGAAATTACAGATGCTATCAAAGCTGGATTGAGTGAACCTATTGAGCCAGAGCCTGAGGTATCACTTCCTTCAGCTTAATTCCTTGTTAGTTAATCTTGATTTGACTTGAGAAGTATTGTGTAAGGAACTGGTTCAGTTTTTTAAAGTAGCAGTAGGAATACTGAATATGCTTTTATTGAATGTTCTCTGTCAAGGTAAATATCCCAATCTGAGAGAGAGAATCAAAGAATACAAGAATATCCAGGACTTTGAGAGCCTGGTCTCTTCCCAACCGACCTATTATTAATCCACCTCTAAATCTTCCCTTTTTCCCCCTATCCCTATTTATTCTCCACGAGCCCTAAGTTTTCATTTTTGTCTCTCAGTTCTCTGGTTTGTTCTTCCCTATCTTCATTCTCTGCGACATTCTCTTGCTTTCGGTGTCCTTCTTCTCCGGCGAGGCTTCTTACGTGACATAGTCATCCTCCGGTTATTTTCTTCATCTCCAGCAAAACTTCTGACATCGTCTTCCTCTTCGGTTGTCTTCTTCAACTCAGGTGAAGCTTCCGACGTGATCCAAATATTTTCAGTCATCTTTTTCTTCTCTGATAAAACATCTGACGAACCTGCATCCCGCTAGTGATTGACCATTTCTCTCTTTTCTTATTTCCTTATCTTCCTTCTCTATTTTTTATTTCTCTCTGTTTTGGATATTAATTTTATATTAAGTATAATACTTAGAACTTTAGGATAGCGGCCATCCTGCTATCCACTATGCCGCTATAGTGTTTTTGAGGTCAGCCGCTTTGCGCTGTTATCCGGGATTGACTACTATGTAATGTAACCCTACTGGGCCAAGCCCGTTGTTATAATATTAAATTAAACCCTAGTCTTTATACATCTATTCTAGCTATTCATAACAGAGATGGCAACATAGGTCATTTTTCTAGACAGTGCATCTGCAGCCCCATTTTCACAGCCTGGTTATACTTTATCTCAAAATCGAATCTAATCAGTTTAGAGGTCCAGCGAACCTGTTCCTCACCAAATAATCGTTGATCATTCAGAAATCATAAACTTCTTTGGTCTGTATGAATGATGACATGCCTGCCCATCAAATAGTGGTGCTACTTCTGTACTGCTAAGATGATTGCCATCAATTCTCTCTCATAGACTGACTTCAATTGGGCTTTGTCTGATAACGTTTGACTGAGAAAAGCTACTGGTCTGCCCTCCTGTAATAAAACCGCCCCTAATCCTCTGCTAGAGGCATCTGTCTCCACAATAAAAGTTTTTGTAAAATTTGGAACAGTGAGAACTGGTAATGCAGCCATTGCGCCCTTTAAAACATCAAAAGCTTCTTGAGCCTCCTTACTCCACTGAAAACTGTCCTTCTTAAGGAGCTGTGTTAGAGGTTTGGCAATGCTCCCATAATTCTTAATAAACCTACGATAATAGCCCGTAAGGCCCAAAAATCCTTGTAGCGCCTTCACATCTTTAGGGGTAGGCCATGTCATCATAACTTGTAGTTTTCTTTGGTCTGCTGCGACCCCTTGTTTGGAGATAATGTGACCCAAATATTTTATCTGCTTTTGGCCAAAAGTACACTTTTTTCTATTGACAAATAATTGATATTCCTTCAAAAGTTGCAGTACTAGCTGAAGATGTTTTGCATGTTCCCCCTCACCTTTACTGTATATTAAGATGTCATAAAAAAAAACAAGGACGAACTTCCGCAAATAAGGGCGTAATACCTCATTCATTAAAGATTGAAAGGTTGAAGGAGCATTAGTTAATCCAAAGGGCATTACCACAAACTCATAATGCCCTTCATGTGTCCTGAAAGCAGTTTTAGGAATATCTTTTTTCCGCATCCAAATTTGGTGGTAACTTGATTTCAGGTCCAGTTTTGAAAAAATAGCTGCTCCCCCCAATTCATCCAACAATTCATCAATAATGGGAATCAGAAATTTATCCAGAATTGTAATCTTGTTGAGGGCCCTATAATCCACACAAAATCTCCACCCCCATCTCTTTTTTTTACAAGAATGACTGGACTAGAATAAGAACTTACACTCAGCCTGATGATACCAGAGACTAACATATCACTCAAAAGTTTCTCTATTTCTGTTTTCTGGTAATGGGGGTACCTGTATGGCCGTAAATTGGGTATTTCTGATCCTTCTTTCAACCTATTGGCTCGGTCTTGTCTCCTTGTGGGTGGTAGGCCTTTTGATTCTTTGAATACTTCCTCAAAATCCTCCAAAATTTTATCAAGTTCCTGAGGAATAGTGTTTTCTGCATCATTTTCATTAGTTAATTCTTCACCTTCGATGAGTTTGCATTCCACGACGTACCCTTGTGCCTCATTTTGCAGAGCCTTGACCAACTCCTTGAAAGTCACAGACTCACAGCAGCTTTGGATAGTCTTGGTTCACCTTTCAACACCATAATTCCCCCTTTCACAGGCACCTTCAGTTAGCTCTGATTTCCCCCAAGCCAGCCAGCCAGCCATTCCATGCCTAGTACCACATCCACCCCTCCTAGGTCAAATATGAAGAAATCCTGTTGAATTTTTAGTCCTTGAATTTGAAGTGCTACCTGAGAACAAACCCCTTTACACTTAATTCTCCGACCATCCCCCACTTCCACCCACTTCCACAGTGTATGTTGCTGTCTCAATAATGGGTAACTGTTTATCGTGAACAAACGTGGATGATATGAAATTATGGGACGCTCTGCAATCCACCAATACAGCCACCTTGCACCTTCAATCTCACCCCACATTTTGATGGAATTTTTTGAGGTTAGTCTAGTAATACTACACATTGACAGTTGTAATTCTTTAAGATCTGCTCCGTTCTCTTCTTCACCACCTCTTTCTTCCGCTTCACTTAAATCATTGCTTAGGATTAGCACCTGGAGTTGCCTATTTCTGCAAATATGCCCAGGACCAAATTTCTCATCACACCGAAAACATAATCCCTTCTTGGTTTTCTCTTGAAACTTAGCATTTGTCAGCTTCTTGAACCCCCTCCCTTTATAAGAAATGGTTGGTTTACTGCTGTTAGACTCAACAGAACTAATTCCTGTGCTGTTCCCAAGATTGTGGTTCTTGATTCCCGTTTCCCATGTCACCCTTCTTGTCGAAGGATAGCTTTTGTGTGAACCACCTACCTTATTATTTTTGAGAACCTCTTGGCTCAGCAACAAATTTTTCTCATCAATTCCTTGGGCAAAATCCATCAATTCTGGTAGAGTGGATAATCGATGCAACTTCAACTCTGCCCTGACTATATCTTTCTGTCCGTTCAAAGATATCCCTTTCAAATACTCAGCCTCGGTACTTTTAAGGGGTCCTACATACAACTCAAATTGCTCACGATACTCTTCTACCATTGTCTTTTGTACCATTGAGGGCTGAAATCTCCCTATTAAAGCGGTGCGGAAATCTTCCCAAGTAGGGTCCATTCGCGTATACACCATGAATATTCTCCCAGGTTCGAGAGCTTTGATACCAGTTGTAAGGAACTGGTTCAGTTTTTTAAAGTAGTAGTAGGAATACTGAATATGCTTTTATTGAATGTTCTCTGTCAAGAAAAATATCCCAATCTGAGAGAAAGAATCAAAGAATACAAGAATATCCAGGACTTTGAGAGCCTGGTCTCTCCCCAACTGACCTATTATTAATCCACTGCTAAATCTTCCCTTTTTCCCCCTATCCCTATTTATTCTCTGTTCTTTACATTTTTCTCAGCTAATTGGGCCTCTTTTCTTCTATTGGGCCTCCTTACATAGACTTTACTAATTGGGGGTTTGGGCCTATTACTAACATATTGATTTTCACCTAGTGACTGACAACTTGTCTATTGGTACTGGGAATTTGACACTTGATTACATTAAAAAATTGGTTTGTTCCCCATGAGTTATAATGTCTGTATGAATGATATCTATATTCTTAATTGCTATGATGTAAATCTATATAGTACCGACACTGATTCAAATTTTATTCATTTTATATTTATAGTGAAATTATTGTAGTGGGATCCAATTTATTTATGAACTGGGTGTCTTGTCTATGTACTTAATATGTAGCTTGAGGTGCCAAAAGAACTGATACAATCATCAAAGCTAGAAGAGTTGAAAAATCTGCGCAAGCCAGCCTTTATTCCTGTAAATCCTGAAACAGATGCTACGAAGCTTCATGATGAGGAAACTGGGATCACAAGGCGCCGTCTTTCAAATGGAATCCCCATTAATTATAAGGTATTCTATGCAAGTTTATGTTGACGTTCTCATGATACTTGTACCTTTTTTTTCCTTTTCTATGCCATTGTACTGCATTAATTGTTAAAATGCGTCTTTCATTTGCCATTGCATGTTTTAAAATTATGACTGAGTCTCCATAGAGTTCTAACTCTAGTACTCTCTGCCGATGCTTCTTTTTTCTCTTTTTTACATCTATGGGTTGGTTGTAAGGAGACAAAACTTGTCATAAAATTAATTCGCAACTCCCTACTATGTTTGTACTACCATTCAATTTCTGATCATTTCACCAATGTAATTTGAGATTGGCCCAAAATAGCTTAGGACTTGCAGTGCAGAAGAGGATGTATCTGTTTTATTGAACTCAGTGTTGTTAAATGTTGGTTATGGCGGCGTCATGGCGGAATGGCATGGCGGAAATGACAGAGGCCATTACGAAGATGGCGTGGCGTGGCGTGGCGGTGCCATGGCGGCCGTTACGAGCATGACAGTAATGGCTGGCCATGGCAAAAATCATTAGAAATGGCATTTTTTTTTTGAAAATATGGTTTTTCTGCACTTTTGGGCCAGATTCGACCCGACCCAGTTCAGAACCCAACCCTAAATCCAGGTTTTTTCCCTCTCTTCTCCTTACGATCTCACCCTCCCTCTCTTTGTGATCGCACTCTCTCTTTCTGCAATCTCACTCTCCTTTCTGCTCATCTCTTTTCTCTCTGCCCTCCATCAAGATTTCACTCTCTCTCTCTGCGACATCTCTCTCTGCTTTCTCTAAGATCTCTTTTTGTCTTGGGCTCCTTGGGTTTTTGTTTTGGTGCATTTGGGTCTCTATTTCCGGCGACTGCAGCTACAGCTCCATTTCGGTCCTGCTGCTGTGTGATGCTACGCCGCTGCTGTTCTCTCTCTAGATTCTTTTGGTGTTTATGTGGTTGGGGCTGTTTTTGCTTGTCAATTTAAGTTGCTAAACTTACGGCTTTATCTTTTAGTCTTTTTTAAGGGTAAAAAAGACTTTTTATCTTTTAAAAATAAACTGAATTTCCTTTTTAACCCTTAAAATGACACTGTTTTAAATTTTTTTAAAAGGGTAAAATAGTCTTCTCATTAAAATATATTATCTAACTTTTCTTTTTCACTTCTTCCCATCTCTCATCTTCATCTTTGCTCTGTTTTAGTGGGCATCTGGCTTTATTTAGCTTCTCTCATCTTCATATTTATACTGTTTTACATCCCCTTTCCAATCCTACTTAGAATTTTGATTTTGATTACCATACTTTACATCACAAAATCAAGAAAATATTATTCAAAGTCTTGATTCTCTCATTTTCCTCTCTCAATACTTTTAATCCAAATAATATCAACCACTAGGAACTATGAGCATGAATCTGTTTGACTCTCAAGAAACAAAAAAAAAATCTTATTTCACTTTTACTATGGTCTATGGGTGGTTTAATTGTTGCAAAAATTTATGGTGAGAAAATGCTTTTTAAAAGAAGGATTGACAATGATAATTTGGGCCATAAATGAAGAATTTGATAGGTAGACATTAGTTGGTTAGATAAATAGTTAGAGATATAATTAGTTAATCAGAGAGTTAGTTAGTTAGTTGATAATTGCATATTTTGTATTGAATTATTTTGGATTGTAGGTTATGTTACATATATTTTGAGTTAATTATTTTCTATCATTTTCTGTGATCTATAGTATTTTTTTATATATTTTATTATATTCGCCATAACCCGCCATGGTGGCCGCCATAACTTTATGGCAGTTTTTTTGGTTTCCGTCATTAGCCGCCATCTACATTGATGACATTGATTGAACTTATTAATGCATTTTATTGTTGGCAGATATCAAAAACTGAAACACAAAGCGGTGTGATGCGGCTGATTGTTGGTGGTGGACGAGCATCTGAGAGTTCTGAGTCAAGAGGATCTGTGATTGTGGGTGTTAGAACACTTAGTGAGGGAGGTCGTGTCGGCAACTTCTCAAGGGAACAGGTAATTTTTCATACTGACTGATGTCTCCAAACTTTATTGTCTGATATATGTTCCCATTTTCCATTGATTCACAGTAGTTACGTGCATTCTTACCGTTCTTGGCTTTTTGAAGTGTATGGTTTATTTGTTAATGTTTCCTTAACTAATTAATTCTATTTTTCTTTCAAACTTTTTTCTCTGGACTACTTGGGTTGTTAATATGTTGGGGTAGCAAGAGAGACAATGGTTAGCATCTTGTAGACCTTGTCATGTTTACATTTGTTGCACAAGATAAACTACAAGAACATGATTATTTAATACCTATTTCAGTACATGCAAATTGAAGTGTTAGAAGGCTTGTTCATGGTTAAATAAAATTGGAGGAAATGCTTATGCTAAGATGCAAAGTAGAAACTTCTTGTTCAAATATGCACCAAAATTTAAGCACAAATGTAAAATAATGTATAAGCAGCTGAGCATATTTTTTTTGAATGAGAAGAGAGCACAAATGTATCATGCTTAATAGATTTTTTACGATTGTGAGTCCAAGCACAAATGGACATACGTTGGATGAAATTTTGAATGTTGATATGGTATTCAGATTGCTATATAGTTTATGGCAGATTTTAGAAGGCCATTCTAATTGCAGTGCATAATTATGGGGAATGTTTTCCTCCCAATACCAAGTGCCTATTTCTGATAATGAATGCACAGATTAGATAATTCTTTTTATGTTGTGAAATTTTGGTGGCAAATGCACTCCATGTCAGGAGAACTCTGCACAGTTTTTTTACCCCTATAAATTCTATTATTTGAACTTCCATTTAATAAAATTGTATTTCACACATAATACCAGGTGGAACTTTTCTGTGTAAATCACCTGATAAACTGCTCCTTGGAATCTACGGAGGAATTCATATCTATGGAGTTCCGTTTTACTTTAAGAGACAATGGGATGCGTGCAGCCTTTCAATTGCTTCACATGGTGCTTGAGGTAAATGTCTTGTCATTTGTAACTATTAAACCCTTTCTTATCCACTTATGTTGCATCTATATAATTCTCGCTGTATTACCTTTAAGGCATCGTATGTATGTACTCAATTATATCTCTGATTTGTTACATTCCCTATTATGCTTCTGTTGTGCAGCATAGTGTCTGGGTCGATGATGCTTTTGATAGAGCAAGGCAGTTGTATCTGTCATATTATAGATCCATCCCCAAGAGCTTGGAGCGGTCAACTGCTCACAAACTCATGGTAGCAATGCTGGATGGAGATGAGCGTTTTATTGAGCCTACACCAAAATCACTGGAAAATTTGACCCTTCAAACTGTGAAGGATGCAGTAATGAATCAATTTGTTGGTGATAACATGGAGGTCTGCCATCATTAATATGTTGAATGTATAGTTCTTTTACCATGACATTCAAACACTGAAGTCTTTTTTGTTCTTCAGGTATGCATTGTAGGTGACTTCAGTGAGGAGGATATTGAATCTTGTATTCTTGATTACCTTGGCACAGCTCAGGCCACAAGAAATCACAGACGAGAGGAAGATTTCAACCCACCCTTATTTCGTTCATCTCCATCTGATTTACAGTTTCAAGAAGTAAGAAGCTGAGCATATATTACCTTTAAGAATATGTTGTTTTTGTGAGAACTTTAATATGACAAGTGAATTTGCAGTGCAAGGCTTGTGACATGCTTGTCTCCTTTTGCCTTTTTTTGCAGGTATTTTTAAAGGACACCGATGAGAGGGCATGTGCTTATATTGCTGGGCCAGCACCAAACCGTTGGGGTTTTACTGTTGATGGAAAAGACTTGCTAGAATCAATTAATAATGCACCAACAATCAATGGTGGACTTCAATTTTTTTTTTTCTTGTGGCATCATATCCTACTTTGCTTTTCAAAACTATCAGAATCACTGTTAATCATTAAATGCTGGAAATGGCTTGTGCAGATGATCAGTCAAAATCTGATGCTCAACAGACAGAAGATGGTTTGCAGAAGAGACTTCGTACTCATCCTCTTTTCTTTGGTATAACAATGGGACTGCTTTCTGAGATTATAAATTCTAGGTACCTCTTTCTACTCCCTGTAGTTATCTTAGTGTAGGAACTTCAGACACCATGCTCGTTTCCAGGCTCAGGCCAGCCTGATCATCTTCATGCTGAAAATAGGCCAACCCCATTACTTTTGCATTGAAATCTTATAAACATCTAGGTTATCTCCTACTAGTATCCCAAATATACGAGTGTTGTTTTCAAAATTCAGTCTGAAATCTGATTACATGTTTTCTGTACAGGCTCTTCACAACTGTAAGAGATTCTCTGGGGTTGACATATGATGTGTCATTTGAGTTAAACTTGTTTGACAGGCTTAAACTAGGATGGTATGTGATCTCTGTGACCTCAACACCAAGCAAGGTTTGAGCTCCATTCTTGTAACATTCACACATATTTTTGCCGTCAGTTTCATTCTGTTCAGGAAGTCTCAAGGAAAATTGATTTGCAGGTGCACAAAGCTGTTGATGCATGCAAGAATGTTCTTAGAGGTCTGCATAGCAACAAAATTACTGAGAGGGAATTAGACAGGGTTAGTTATTGCATATGCTTGTGTTGTTTTAAAGTTTTCAGTTTTTACATTACAATTTAGTAACAGCACTTCTAGCCACAAGTTTTTCTGCTGAACTCTTTTGGTAATAATTGATCCTTCTGCTCTGGATTATGTTTCTCCTTGATAGTTTCTTTGTCCAAAAAAATAGAGTAAACTAACTTTCTGGTTAAAAGCACTTGGCGCCCTCATTCTATTTCCATTTATGGCTTGAATTTTCTTGTTGATTACTGCCTATTTAATTACGACTTGAAAATTTGAGTATTTTCTTGGTGCTCTTCTCTGGTGTTAGGCTAAACGGACCCTTCTTATGAGACATGAAGCTGAAATTAAGTCAAATGCATACTGGCTGGGATTGTTAGCTCACTTACAAGCTTCTTCTGTTCCAAGGAAGGTGAGATGGAAATTTCTGAGTCATGACATGTGAAATATTCAAATTTTTATTTTTATTGCAAAACAAAAATTGGTTTAAGGTTTAGTCTGGCCATATTTAGACTCGATGAAATTTTCTATTATGCTTCTAATCTGTCATTCTTTCTTCTAAGTTGTGTTATTTAATGTTAATTGTGGGATCCAGGACATATCATGTATCAAGGACCTAACTTTTCTATATGAAGCTGCTGCTATTGAGGATATATACCTTGCATATGAACAGTTGAAAGTGGATGAGAATTCTCTATATTCATGCATTGGGATTGCTGGTGCTCAGGCTGCACAAGACATAGCAGGTTTAGTAATATTCCAATGGCTAATATTGAATTTACTTTGCTAATTCCTCCGAGGTTCTTATGTATCACAACTTTGGAACGTAAATCCAGATTTCATCTTTTCCAAATTTGAGCAGTAGCTTTCACAATTGCGTCTTCAATTCCTAGGTTTGAGTACTAAAATTTTAATCTTGAAAGAGGATATCGAACATAAGAAATGGGATCCCAATTCCTTCCCTAGGTATCAGCACAATTTCTTCCATGCAGAAGTTGAATTTCTGAACTGCATGATGTAGCTGCATTAAACATGTTCCGTAGGTAACACAAACAGAAGATCTTATCTATGGAAATCAATAGCTTCAGTGATGTGTCTAATGTATAAGCTAGTCAACTATGTTCAGAGCCGTATGTGGATTGGCTACATGTTGAATGTTGGTAGATAATAGAAAAGGCTATTAGGCAGGTCTACCACATCATTTTGGAAGATGAAATCTGTCTCATTTACTGGTGCAAATCATGTAATAATGGTTAGTTAAGTACTTTTACAATCTTTTATGCTTACTATGCAGCTCCTTTAGAAGAGGAAGAAGTGGGCGATACTTATCCGGGTGTTATTCCTGTGGGACGAGGTTTATCCACAATGACACGGCCAACTACGTGATATGTTTGGACTTTGTTTTAGCCTGGTTGCTTTAAGATCTGGAGGTTAGTATACTATGGCTTTGTTTATTATTATTTTTTTCCAGCTGAGGTTCATTAATTGACTTTTGCTGATATCCATATAATCCTTTTGATTAATTTTTGATAGTTTGTTTTCTTTTGTATACTTTGGGTTGGGACGACAACGAGGGTTGCCCAATTTATTTATTTGTTTATTCTGATAGTTTGTTTCCTTTCTTGTGTGGTTCAAAGGGTTTGCAGCATGTTTCCCAAGAAGTTGCTGCATTCATTTAACATTCAAACAACTCGACATACGAGCTGTTCGATAAACCTACGAAGCGGTTCTTGACTTGCGTGTGATTGATTTCCAAGTTAATCTTGCTTTTATCTTCAATCGGACCACTAATAAAATGCTATTAATACCTATACTTTTGTAGGATTAGAATAAAGAAAATATAGGATCTGCCACTATGATGTATAGGTGCCATTTTTTGTCCGTCGGCCATATTTTTTTGTTTTTTTTTTTTTTGGGGGGGTGGCGGGGTGCGGGGGGTAACGCCGACTATATCGTAGCGTAGGAAATTAATCTGTTTATTATGTTGTAAATCATTGTTTCCGCGCTTGTAAACTTGGATTTTTCATCGTCCCATCGAAATGGGAATTTCTATCATCATTTTCTTGTTTTCCCAAACCGAAATAGACTTTTGTTTCGCAAGCAAGTTGCTAATAGAATGGGCATATACACAGTAACTTTTTTAAAAACCTCATAACGGAGATTATTAAGGCTTATTGTATGCATTTTCTTGGGCTCTGCTGTATTTTAATTCTACAAGCTGATAGATATCTATTTAATTTTCTTGTCCGAAAATTCAATAGAAAAATGAAAAAGATACTTGTCTCTTAACAATGACAACACTACTATGGTGGTTCTTTGCACGTTAAGACGCAAATATAATATTTATGAATGCAAACATTCAAGTCGTCTCTCATCGTCTTCTCAATTAATAACCTTCTAATCTTTGGTAAATACTCTCATTACGTAGATCTTTCATTTTACCAACTCTAATTATTATATGTTCATAGAAATCAACCATATTAAGTAACAGGGTAGATCTCGTTATTGTTGCTTGCATAATATTTTCCATTTACACGAAATCTTTAGAAGAAAGGACAGACATTAGTTAATTTGAATGAGATAAAATATAGTAAATATGCAAAGGCTAAAGTGGCTTGTAAATGTGGATAATGAGGTAATGTTCGTAGAAAACCCCTCCAACCGCAATGTCTACTACCCCTTTAACCCCCAAATTGACTATTGTGTTGTGTCCACGATGTGACTTGTGGTTGCAAAACAAAACATTAAACACTCCGTAATGTGTCTAGAAGGAACACGACGCTGTACTCTTCGGAACCGCTAGAGCAAAGTGGTCCTACACCTCCCTCTCTCTCCAACTTTTGTCATTTTTCTTCTTAGTTATTCCTTTTAATTTGATTTTTTACATAGCTCACCAATCATTTGGTTGGGGCATTTAGTCCCTTTGAATACAACAACAGCAATAATAATATTTGTAAAAACACTATAATCTTAATTCATTCCTTGATTACCCAAACACTAATTGACATTCTTTCATAAATACTGTAAAATGCGCTTTATCCTTTCTACACTTCTTTATTTCTTCTCTTCATCTTTTTTATAGGGCCTATTATGAGTCTCAATTCACAGCAAGTTTAACGCAAGTTATTGGCGAAAAAGCAATTTAAAAGCACTTCAAGTAACAACTTTATCATTTTGGAGAGGCAACAGAGTATGCCAAATCATAGCACTGGTTACTATCGTCAATTTTTTTACTACACTGCACGGCATGAAATTAATGTGATTAACGTTAAGTGTAAATTGATGTAAAAAAGATGTTTGATAGAACCTCCTTCAAAGTAACAATGGGAGCTTCTATCTGTCCAATAATAATTTATACGGAAAGGTCATACATAAAGGTAGGATAAATTGACTTCTACCTTCCATAGTTTCTGTGCACTCAGGTACATAAGTAGTTTTACTGGAAGACTATAAATCAAATCGACTCCTACTTTCTTTGGTATAAATGTTCAATCCTATTTGGCTGCTTATCTATAACTCCTTCCGCATGATTCGGTACATATTGACGGAGAATTATTATTATGATTAGAAATTGATTTTGATGTGTATGCTGAGTTATATGCATTTAGATGTAATTTCAAGTAGTCAAAGCAAGGGAGAATATACAACTTCGAATCCCTACTCAAATAATTTCTCTATAATTTTTTCCTACCTTTTAACTCAAATAATGTTTTCCTAACTTTTGCTGTTTATTCCTAGGATTTTGTCGTGCGCGTATGTATATATATTTATACTTGTTATATAAATTTTGAAACTACATGCAATGCCATGTAAATGATTATTAATAACTTGCTTCGTCCCATTGTTTATTACTTGTTAACCAAGTGAGGAGTAACGTGTGTATCTGGTTCCATTTGTTGCCTTATATAGTTTATATTTATGTATAGTCGTTACTATTCTTTTGCATTAACGTGTATAGCTGTTATTATTCTATTGTATTACCATAAATAGGATAGAGTCAACCATTAATTATATAGATTAGAATCACCTAATAATAGTCTAGAAATTCCTGTCATTTAGTCTAAATTTCAACATAATATTCTCTGTACTTACCTTTATATATTGAATGAAAACTCTGGCATTAGATATCTTTGGCCACTCAAAGTAAGTTTTGATATCATTGATTACCGGACTCTGCGAAGGTATCAATTAAAAGTGGATGCAAATAATAAGACTACCCTTTATTTGTTTGGTAAAAGTGAATTGAACTGTTCCTGTGGAAACACTCATGGTTAGTTGGAGACCCCCTTCCCCTTTTGTGCGAGTTTAATATATTCGTAAAACGATAATGGTGTGCCAAAATTATATGTGACTTCAATAAGGGTTTTGAGATATTATTGAGAAAGATTTTGGTAATTCAGATAGAGAATGCTACTTATAGACCTATTGACATATAGTGTATATTAAAAAGCAAATTAAAATCAACAGCATTCTAATCTTTTAGTATGCCTCTCAACCTTGTCGATCTGTAAGGAGTTGCAATATTGAGGATGTTATAAGACTTTCTTAAAGTTAATCTCACTCTCACCTAAAAGTACAAAAGGTGGAGGGGTTCATAATTCGATTAGAACAAATACATATGGATTAGACTAGAGAAAATATAGTAGGGTTTTCCAAGTTCAGGTACAATATATACATGTGTTTCTTTTTTTCAATTTGGGGTATCTGACTATGTACTGAATGTCATGATTAATTATTTGATTTAAAATAAGGTGGTGGGATACACATACGTAATCATTTTTCGCTTGTACTACCTAACAAGATTGAATAAAAGGCTGCTGCATCTACCATTTGGTATTCTTATATAGATTTGATCAAACACGTGATAATTCTAGCGTTGATTTTGTAATCTCTTATTGACACTGTTTCGATGATACGGAAATTTTTATATAGCACATGGCACATACTTAAAATATGTTTAGAGGGTTATAAGATAAGATAATGAAGTTGTTATCCTAATTTAATATGTATTATAAAACATCTACAAATTATATATATGTTCATTGTTCTAGTGACTGGAATTTTTTTATATGTATTCGTATATTTGTTTCAACTAAAACATTATGAAGTTAATAGCAAAAAAAAAAAAAAAAAACCATTATGAAGTATCTATATATATCCTACGTTTGCTGCATGTTTCATTTAGCTACGAATATATAGAAGCTGGATCTGGAACAAAACATCTTGTGTAAATTAATGTTTTTATATGGATTCGTTGAATTTGGGGTCCCACAAATGGACTGTTTATGTAGTCTTGCGTGCATTGATTTGCATGACACGAAACATAAATAGGTTCTAAAGATAATAACAATATTAGACATATTCGATGCTTTCAAATTAGGAAGTTTCTTCTCCAAATGGGCCATGAAAAGTGAGCTTCAAACTCACTAAATGATTGCCACGTGGAACCTACCCTTGCTGGTAGTTTAAGTTCGTTGCTGTTTATGATGTGTTCCCATTTAGTCTTTGCTTTGCCATGTATATATACACACACATATATATATATATATATATATATAATTTTTTTTAATTGCTGAGATAAAGGATCTGGGAAGACAAATTTCAGATGAATGCAAAGGATTGCCCCATGCACCTTGAAAGGTAACAAGGAAGCTAATTGGAAGGTTGCATTAGATAGATAGATTGAGAAGTTCCATTCCAGTGAATATTGAAAAGGGTTTGCAAAATCCTTATAACTGTTTGCGTGTGAGTTGCGATTATTTAGACACTGAAGAAGCCAAGACATTCTTCTTCTTGTGTTGTGTGTTCCCTGATGACTATGAAATCCCTGTTGAAAAATTAATAAGATTTGCAATGGGATTGGGTCTAGCTGGAGAACATCAATCTTTTGAAAAGGCAAGGTGTTGCTAAGAATTAGCTTATAAGTTCTTGTTTGTTGTAAGATACTGCTGGGGGAAAACGTGTAAAAATGCATGACTTAGTTCGTGATGTAGCCCATTGGATAGCAAGCGAAGAGAATAAAATGCTCAAGTGTGTGGTGCAAAATTAAAGGATGTGACCTCAGAATGCAGCTCAATAAGATATCTGTGGTGCGCAGAATTCTCACATAAACTTGACTGTTCTAATCTTGAGTTTCTTTCCCTACCAACAGATTTGAAAGTATCAGATGAATTTTTCAAGGGAATGGAAAAGTTCATAGTTTTGTTTCTTTGCTGGAAAGGTGAAGGGAGTGCATCATTGTCAATCATGTCATTCAAGTAGTTAAAAAACCTTCGTTGTCTATTGCTAGACTCATAGGAATTAGATGACATCTCAGTAATACTATACATGAAGAAACTTGGAAGTCTTACATTCCTTAACTGTTCATTCACGGAGTTACTTGATATTATAGTTACACAATTGACAGGCTTAAGATTGTTGCAATTGTCAGAATGCGAAATGAAACAAAATCCTTTTGAAGTGATTGGAAGATTCGCACGTCTGGAAATAGTGTACTTTGATGACTCTTCTTATTCAGACTATGATGCATTCTTCAAATTGATTAATGTGCTCAAAACATTGCTTAGGTATCAAATACGATTGGGATCCGAATGTGACGATTACTTGAACATTCTTAATGGGAATAGTCAAAATGTTTTAAATCTTGGTTGTTTTGATACACGGAATGCAGCAGCTATGGATTTGGTAAAAAAAGAAAAAGAAAAAAAAAAAAAAGAGGTTTTGCATGATTGAAGGTGGTGTGAAAAATATCATTCCTGCTATTTTTCAAATAGAAAGAGGAGAAAGGGGAGGAGGAGATATGAATTATGGGTGGATTGAGCTTGGTATAAGAGATTCTGGGGAGATAGAGTGTTTGTTGGACATGAGAGGAGGAGGAGGAGTAGGAACTTTCTTCCCTAAGTTGCGTTTGCTAACAATTGAAACGATGCATAGTTTAGGAGCTTTATGCTGTGGTGTGCCTCCAAGTGGCCTCTTTGACAAATTAGAGCAACTAAATATAAGCAGTTGCCCAGTTCGGCCATGTCTACTCACGTTGGAGGTTGCTCGATGTCTGGTACAGCTGGAAACATTAGAGATATATAATTGTGATGAACTGAAGCATATATTGGCAGATGATGAGACCAATAATGATGACATAAC